ATAAGGGAAGACTGGGACTATACCCCAAAATAGCTATACTTACTGGCTAGCATGTATTAGGGAACCAGTGGGTATTTATGGTCCCAGAGTTTAGCGATTCTTGATCAAGGAGACTAGAACATAAAACTAGGTAAGGGGGAGTCTGTTAACCTGGGGATATTCTTCTTGGGTATAAGGTTTACTACTTGCAGGAGGCAGAATATTTACCCGCCCCTGAAGATGTGCCAGTCCTAATCCCTGGAACCTTTCAATATGTCAGTTTACCTGCAACTGGGTTGCAGAAGGAATTAATACTTAATTAGGTAGGTCCTTAAAAGAGGAAGAGGAAGGCAAAAGAGGGTCAGCGGAAGAGACATGATAATGAAAGCAGAATCAGAGGGATGGTGTGTTGCTGGAGGAGGAGAGGAGCTACAAGCTAAGGAAAGCGGGTGGCCTCTGAAAGCTGGAAAAGGCAAGAATGGATTCTCCCCCAGAGCCTCCAGAAAAGAAGGCAGGCCTGCTGACTCCTTAATTTTGACCAAGTGAGTCCTCTGTATTTGATGAACCTATAGAACTATAACATAATGGGGTGCCTGGCTGGCTCAGTTGGAAGAGCACTTGACTCTTGATCTCAGGGTCACAAGTTTGAGCACCATGTTGGGTGTAGAGATTACTAAAAATAATAAATGAACCTTAAAAAAAAAGAACTATAACATAATAGATTTGTATTATTTTAGGCCATTGAGTTCGTGACACTGTGTTGCAGCAGCAATAGAAAGCTCCTACACCATCCCAGCAAGGGTCCTGGGGATGATGCAAACATGCTATTAGGGTGAGTGTTCCTAGAACCCTGGAGAAAGCAAAGGCCAACACCGAATGGAGTTAAGATGCCCAAATTACTAAGGAAAACAGTAGAGAAAGGGATTGCAGCTGCATGGAAGAAAACATGCTGGAACAGATGTGTTATGTGAAGCCAGGAGATCCACCAGAAGACTACATTTCATGGTGGCTCATAAATAAAAAAAGCCGTTTGCACTGACATGGAAGGGACAACAATATATATTCACCCGTTTGCCTAGAACTCTGCTAATGCTACTGTTTTTTTCACAGCATTGTCTGGAGAGCATCGCCTTCAGCCTTTCCATTGATAACATTCTGCAGTCAGGAAGGAGGAGCAAGGGTTGGCTAGCCTTCATAAGATGCCTCTAATTAAAGGATGGGAGATAAACCTTCTGAAGATTCAACGGCCTGCCCCTTCACCAAAGTTTTTAAAGATCTGATGTTTTGGGACACCATCTTCAAAGTAAACTATATATGGCCCAATTTTTCATCAGCTACTTAAAAGAAAGTACAATGTCTCCTAGGCTTCCAGGTAGAGGTAACGTGTTGAGAATTCATCACGGATAAATGAAGAAGGGTTGGGAGGTTCTTGCAAGCATGTCCTGGGCTAAGGATTTGTGAGGTTAAAGTCAGAAACAATATAGCTGGGGAGGATCAGCCTGATGGCCCAAGCCCCTTTCTTTGGGGGCCCTCCCTGAGTCGCTACCTATTACTCAGCTTCCGCAGCGGTCTCAGAGCCTGGGCTCCTAGACCAGGAGCTCAGAGGGGGTGTTGGAGGAATAGCCTCACTGGTGTAGCAGTGGCATCTTGGGAAGGGGAGCCTGGGGCTGTGCCCATGGCTGCTTCCCCACTTCTTGGAGTCCTGTTTGGCCCCCACCCTTGCATCCGACTTAGAATTTTAATTTTAGTACCTAAAAGATATAACATGGCTCGGGCCATCTGTCCTTGTAAAAGCACGTGTAGACTACTTTACAGTTTACATAGCATGTAAAATAACAAGAAACTAGTTACCTCCACAACAACCCTTTGTTCCTATTTCACACACGAAGTAGCCGAGACTCTAACAATGGAAGTGACTTGCCACAGATCGTGTGGGAAATGGGCATTCGAACTGAAACCATGTCTGCAAACCCTGCTGTCTTTTCGTTAAACCTACATGCCCATGTTTTAAAAGCTTCAACAGTCTGGATGAAGAGAAGTTTCTCGTCAGGGAAGGAAGGAAATTCAGGTGTGCAAAAGCTGCTGGTCCAAATCCGGTTGAGTTGTGATTCAGTTCAGGAAAAGGCAAAACCTTCATCTAGCTTCAATATGATACCCTCAGCTCGTCTCCAGTCCCACACCTCTGGGAGCTGCAGGAAACATTCTCTGCAAGGTTTGGGAATGGGGGAGGGCTAGTCTCAGCTTCCCCAGTTTTAGTATTTAGGTCTCTGTGCTGAGATGCAGTGTTTCCTTCTGGCAGGGTGGAATGGATTTATAGACTGTAAAACCAGGATTCAAACACAGGATTCAGCATTAACTACCTGGATGGCATCCTTCAATTAATTTAATCTCTTGGAAGCTCACTACTCATTTGTAAATCTTATCAGTGGATTAAATAGGAAATGTTGATTCCTATTTCCTCCTTCCCTTCATTTTTTTCTGGCCGGGTGTTTGTTTCAAAGTTTGGTTTCCTGAAATGACAACATATACAGAGAGACTCAAGATACACAGAAATTACACAGACCTGGCGGGGTCACCTGTGGGCTCAGCAAGGGACTCCATCTCCAAAATTGAGCTACCTGGCCCTTGTGTACCTGTGTATTGAGCTACCTGTATATAATATGTAATTACGGCAGATTATCATCTGACACCCATTAATGACCTAAAGATCCATCACTGAGCTAGTCACCGAGAGAACGGGCTGGGTCAAGGACAAGGGCCACTGGGGAAAGGACCTAAGATCACAGTGAGAGAAGTCAGGTGAATAACAAATCCCCTGATGTTCATTTAAGGCCACCCACCTACAAAGCTCTTTCACACTTTGGTCCTCCAGTTTGAAGTCTGATACTACTTTCTGGGTCATTCTAGCGATGCCTTTGATTTCTCTGGACCTTGGATGTTTTATCAAAGTTCCTTTGTCAACTCTCTATCAATAGTTGGATTTGTTCGATAGTTTTTAAACCTATCTTGCTGCAGAAATCTTATCTTCCTACCTATAAGTGTACATCAGAACTACACTTGGGAGTGCAACTGCTTTCATTGTTGCATGGGAGGAGTCTCAGTGGGCCCCTGTCACCTCTTCTTGATGGCCTTGATAAAGCTCGATAATCCTCAACTCCAGTAGCATTCCCCAGTCAAAAGAACTGCACCCAGTCATGCCCTTGGCTGATAACAGTAAGTCTCTAACCCAGCCAAGCACAAGACACTCCCTTGTCATACCCTAAGTCAGTTTCATCTTCACAACACCCTTGGTCCTTATAAAAGTTAAGAGATTTTCCCAGTCACAGCTAATAGTAAAGCTTCAGAGCCCTGGCCTACCACTTCCCCAACCCCTGCCCTCACTCCCAGCGGCCCAGGCCCCTTGCCCTGACCTAGGTCCAGATTAAATAGCAAGGGGGTGAAGTACCAGTGCCCAAAGGGATGAGAAATATAAAAGATTTCTGCTGGCAAAGCCTGGAGACGTGAAGAGGGAGGGAGCCTGCTGATTCTGGGTTCCCACCAAGGTGGAAGCTCAATATATAAAGGCTGGGAGTATGTGTGCCAACACCCCCCTCCCCCTAGCCGCCGCACATGCGAAGGTTTGACGGAATCCAATTCAAACAGGCATCCATTAGGCAGCAGGCCCATTTCTGCTTAACACAGGCAGTGAAAGAGCAAAGAAATTGGATCAGCCTATCTGTGCAAAAGCCCTAGCAAAAGCCACCAGTGGGCTTCAGTACTTGCAAAGGCTGTTTGCTAACGATGTGCCTCTTAGAAACCTGGGGTTGGGAGGAAATTTAGCAGCATACGGAGTGCCCGCACAAATTATACACCAATTTACACTTGTTGACTAAACACCTCCCATGGGCCAGGCGCAGGGTCAGGTGCTGCTGGGAACAGACACAGAAGTGACACTGCAGGGTGACAAACACTTTGTGAATTTAGAAGATGGGTCCGACTGGCTGGAAATCCTCCCCTTCAGCCACGTCCTCCCGGATGCCACAAACCCCAGCCTTCACAAGGACTCTGAGGAGATCTACCCACAGGTTGGCCCTAGTGGTGCTCACTTGGGCGGGTCTCCAGAAGGTTCTCAACGCACAGTTCCCCTGCTTAGTGCTACTGCTGTTTGTCTTCTGTCATTACCCAAAACCACTTCTTGCTGGACTCTAATTCAGCTGCCACCCCTTCCAGGACACCTGCTGACAGGTTTAGACTTAGGGGCTTCCATGGATCTATGCTGACCCACCACTCCATTCTGCCCACCGCCTTCGTCTGCTTTCATGTCTGTTCCCCAACCTGCACTGAAATGACAGAGGAGGCACGCACTAGACGTTCCAGGATCAAATTGACCCTCTGGGCTGTAGTTACTTCTAATAAATGAGGTGCACGAGAGATGGCATTGCCCACGAAGCCCACAAGTTTGACAATCTGTGCATCGGACTGGGGGAAGGGCTGCTCGGTAGACATTAGTTTCTGGGAGTTCGGTGGTCTCCTCCTTGGAGGTTTCCAATGGGGTCTGCAGCAGATGCTTTCCTTTTCCAAAGGAATCGTGTGGAAGCCTGGACGATTTGAGTCCAGGTGAGCCTGGCTACTCCAGAGCTACTAGCCTTACTTGTCCTGAAAGCCTCTGGGCTCTAACATCATAGAAAGCATAACGAGCTTCAGGATTTAACAGATGGGGGTCCATGCCTGACTCCATCACTTACAGGTGGTTTAACCCCAGGCAAGTGGTACACCTTTCTGGGCTTACTTCCTAATCTGTGATAGGAACATAATTCACACCTCCTCACGTGGTAGTAACGATTAATTCACTGTGAGATATTACCTCTAAATTGGCCAGCATATGCCCACACATGATGCAAGCTAGCTTTTGCTTTGTATTAACAGTCGTGGTGGCTCATCCTAAAAGAGTGAACCCCCGGGAGGACGTAGGAGTTCCTGGCTGGTGCGTGGTGGCCACAAACCACAGATGGGAGAGACTCAGCATTTGCAGGACCTCAACATTTTAGTTAAATACGCACAATTTTATTGATTGAAGAGATTAGGACAAAAACATTAAACCAAATACAGGACAAAGCACCAGAGGCCATAGATTCCCACCATGCACATCACCAATCTTTCCTCCTACGGGGTACTGAAAAAATAGGGGACGGGGAAGAAAAACGGGTCCTTCTTGATACAGCACCATCTTCAGAATGTAAAAAACAAAAACAAAACCAAAAAAAAACCCAAAACCAAAAAACTCTCTCCTTTGTGTCTTCCATTATCAAAACAGAATCAAGGGCAAATCCATGGCCGCCTTGTCTCCTGACTATGAACGGTTAAGCCGCCCTCCTGGGAACGTGGAGGCTGGGCTCCTGCTGAGCAGGCATGAAGCATCCAAGATCTGCACACACATGCCACGTACTATAATAAAGCACAGATTCAAGTAACATTTACATACTAGAGTCCACGTGTTACCTACCCAAAAACATGACCATTTCACAAAACGTATACAGGCAGTAAAATCCAAACAACTGAGGTACTGGAAACAAATATTTATGCCGAAAGAGTTCTGTATCATACAGCAAATAGAAAAGCCGTAATAAAAAAAAACAAACAAACAAAAAAAAAACATTTGCCACTCGAAATCAAATAAAGCTATCTAGAAAAGCCAAACAAAAGGTTATTTCAGGGACAGAAATACTCAAACAAGAAAAAATATATAGATGTTAACTACAGCATGTAACATGTCATCCCAAGTCAACCCGTAATTGAAGTACTGGCTTAATACATCACAATGTGACATTTTCCTTAATAAATAGAAGAATTCTTGAAAATACAAAGGTGCGTATTGGGATAAGAGAGCTGTTTTTATTTATATCATCCTAGCTTCCAGCTGATTTTTCTTGCCGCTTGTCTCTACCGAGGATTTTTGTCCAAACCAGAGGGCCTTCCAAGCCAAAAGGATCATTCTTCCTAAAGAAAAGGAAATAGCTGCCCTGTATTTCATACACGTGGGACAATCTGCTTGGTTTCACTAGTTTCCAATAAAACAAAGACAAAAGGTGTAGCTGAGACCAGAGTGTCGCAAAAGCTTCAGACTCCAAGCGCCTCCCGTGATCTCACCCCGTTGCCCCCATCCCAGCAGAGAGGACCCCCAATGAGGCAGCCCTCATCGTTCGAAGGAAAAAAAAATTCAGGAGTGAATTTCTCTTTTCCTTTCCCTTCCTTTTTTTTCTTTTCTTTCTTTAAACTACGATAGCAGTTAATGCATCTAGAAGTTTGACTTCTAATAGCTTCCTGTCACAAACCCATGGACACAGAACAGAATAGCTTGTTAAAGGACAGATTTTTTTTTTCCCCCTTCAGGGAGCAAAGCATCAACATGTTATTTCCTGACCAGGATATTAAATAGTTTATTTAGAAGAAATGAGTTGAAAAGAGCAATTAAGAGACACAAACTGGACTTCTATTTTCTTTTAGCTTAGCACCCAGGTTTCTGGTCAGTCTGTGTGCACCGAATTTTTTTTTTTTTTTTTTTTGAATGAACCGCATTAAGTATCATATAGGTGGTTGTCTTGTTTAAAAAGAAAAAAAAAATCCTTGGCCAATTGTACCTTCCCTGAATCATGACAAGAAGTTAAAAGCTAACAGTGCGATGCCAAGATGTGTGTTTGAGGCAGAGAGTTTTGATTCTGTCGGGATCTGCAACTATTTTGGGACAAATGAAAAGTGGGGTAGGCCGAAGCAGCCCAACTGATGGGGGTGGTCTCCAGGGGGCTACGTCAGGGAAGAGAAGCTCCAGGGGCACCTGCCCCGCTGACCTGACCCCAGACTCCCACCCCACATCTCTCACCCCCATGCTACATGTTCAGTCAGCTCCTTGAAGGTTCTCCTTCTTTGAACCGAGAAACTTGAGTGTCAGTGTCTTTCTTGCTACCAAGCCAGGCGATACGTGTCCCCTGGAAGGACTCTCCACTGCCCTCTCTCGCTCCTGGTACCTGCTAAGTCTCTGTGGGGCACGAGCTCAGTTAAAGAAAGGGTCCAAGTTCTCTTCCATGTTGACATCCGGCACCAGCTGATCAGACACTTCCTTAGCACCATATCCTGAATTCGAGACGCTAAAATCTGTAGAAAACCAAGGATGGTCCAGAATTTCCTGCGAGGTCAGCCGCTCTGAGGGCTCCCGCCGCAGGATGCTTCGGATGAGGCACTTGGCCTTGGGCGACAGAGTCTCTGGAATGTTGAACTGGCCACGCCGGATCTTGCTGAAGAGGGAACTGGGCTCAATGTCATGGAAAGGGTACCGCCCCACCAACATGGTGTAGAGCATCACTCCCAGGCTCCATACGTCGGCTGCTTTGCCCGAGTAGCTGCCACTGGTGTTCAAGATCTCTGGGCTCACGTAAGCAGGGCAGCCGTGCTTGTCAGAGAGGGAGTCGTCATCTCCCCGAAGAATATACGCATCTTCCAGGCTTTCCAGCTTGACCCGAGTCCTGCAAGAGAGAGGAGAGCGTGAGCTCCTACGGGCAGGCTGAGGCACGTGAGTCCCATCACTGAATCACAGCCCCCGCTTTAGTATTTCCAAGACCATGCACACATTCATTCATTCATTCATTCAACCAGCCAAACATGACTTACTGAGGGCCTTCTAGGCGCCAGACACTGTTCCAGGGTGGGGGGCCCAGGAGTGAATAAGACTGACAGGGAATTTGCATGATGCTTAAAATCCTCTTCCTACTGGGGTGAACCCACACCTCCAGCAAGTAAACAGACCATAAATGACATCATCATCTCCCCCATGTCAGTGATGACGGAATAGGAGATTCGTACTATTCTCAGACACATGTAGGTAGTGATGGGGATCTGCAGGATTTGAACTCAGATCCAACCAACTGGGAAGCTCCCAGAAGCTCTGTCTACAACTTACAGCAAGCTTCTGGCTGACATGATATAACAGTCTGAAAGGACTTTTTACTCAATGGCATCTTGGCTTTATAACAGACATGGAAGATCTGATGACTCCATTTTCCAGATAAAAACATCAAGGCTCATGGAGTTTGAGTAATTTGTCCAGTGCCTTTTAGCTGGGCAACAGAGAAGACTTGGTCCCACACGTTCCTTAAGGAAGTCAACCTGCTGCTCCTTCCCCACTACCAAGCTGCCTTTCTTTAGGACATAGGCAGAGCTGGGGAATGTTCGAGCAGGTATGCATTGCCATAAGCCCTTCCAAGGCTGACATCTTCATAGCAAGCCCATCTTCTTTCCAAGATTTACCACTGAACTTGCCTCCTATCTGGCCCATCACACTCCCAGGGGCTGGTCCTTGACCTGATGCTTATCTGACTTAGTTACCTCTAACTTCCACCTGTGCCAACACGTACACATATGTACATATGTGAATCTGATTTCTCACATGTGTGCAGGGGTGTGTGTGTCAATCTTCCCCTTGCCTTCTAAGGATGACTGAGCTGGCTGACAGGTTCCAGGATGCCTCCTGGCTGCACTCATGAACGGAGGAGGAGAAAACCCACACTGAATTCTGAGTCCCTGGGGCCCAGCACTCTTCTTTATACAGTAGAGCTTGATATGACCATTGGGCATAAAATAAGCACTTGGTAAATACTTTTGGAAATAAGTTAAATTCTTAAAATTAACTATACTAATTTGCAGTGAAGAAAGCTGAGGACCAGGACACGAAATGACTTGCTCAAGACTGACGGCTGCCCCCCACCCAGTGCCAGAATCTTCTAGACCTCCTTGGCTCAGGGGACTCCCAAGAATCCTGTTTCCCTGTTCTGCCATTCCTTGAGTGGAAAGCTAGGTATTGCGACCTTCCAGGGCTTAAAATGGAAATCCTCTTCCTGTTCTCCTGGCCAGAACCCTCTAACAGCAGAGTTCTCAGAGCTGTTAAACCCCACAGACTCAGTCTCATTCCATCCCACGAATGAAGGCTTGCCACAAAGGTGACGTGGGCCAGGGAGGAGGGGCTGGAGTGAGGGGTCAGGGCCTTGTAGACGGTGCCTGCAAGGGCCTACAAGGTCACGATTATTCACACCAGTGGGTTCCTTCGTCTCAAAAATGCACATCATAGTTTGTACCCTGTTGTCCCGAGCGGTGACGAGGCTCCAATGAGGGGAGAACAGGAAAGTGCTTGGAGAAACCACACTGAGGCATTTGCCTAAATCAGAGCTTGTGACTCAGGTCCATAAGCTGCTTTCCTCCTCCTCCCCCGGGGCTACAGGTCTTAGCCTTAGTCTCAGCCTGCTCTGAAAAGAGCAACTACCACGGCTACTCAGGGAGCCACAGAAGGAAGGTGAGGTTCAAGTTAATCAAGTTAGCTCTCTATAGCAAAAAAATCGGACAAAAAAGCCTGGGTTGATTATGAGATCTCGTATTTGAATTACAGAAGTTTCAAAGACTAAGGAGTAACTACTTCCCTGTACTCATTTCTGCCAATGAGCAATGAATGGTGGTAGTCTCTGGAAAAGGTGCTGGGCAGGGAGCTCCGAGAGCAGATTCCAGGCCAAACTACATCTCTCATCTGTTGTGTGGCTGTGGGGAGGTCACTCAACCTCTCTGTTTCTCAAACTTAAAGAGGAGCGTTGGACAAGGCCGTCTTCTTTTTAATTTTAATTTTTTGTGATGGTCCAATATACATAAAATTTATCCTTTTAACCATTTTTAACTGTACACTTCAGGAGCATTAAGTACATTCCCACTGTTGGGCATCCATCTGGACAAGACAGTCTGAAAGTCTCTGCCATCGCTTCTCGGCCTTTTGGCTAAGATCAAGTGAAAGTCTCTGCCAGTTTTAACATTCTGGGATTCTGTAATATACAGCAACATGTCTTCTTTACTCGCTCACCCCAATTCTACTATAACCTGTAGTGCACACGTTCTTCTCCTCCCCCTTCAGCTAACGATCTACAGACGCAGGAAAGGTCTAGATGTGCTCATCTGGAATTGGGCTGAGGGAAAGCAAATCCTGTTCTTCCTGTTGCTCTTTCTAACCAAAGGCAGCAGGTGGGGTGGACCCACACCAACTTCCCTAGATGTTCTAAGATTGGAGGTGAGTCAGGGAAACCCAAGAGGGCGGAGGGGAGGGGGCGCACACAATGGGGCCAAGTGGGTTCTCTCAACAGCTTCCTTCGCCGGACCCTCCCCGGCAGCAGCCTCAGAAGCTGGCCAGCTTCTTGGCCTCCACGGCCACTGTCGTGGCAGCAGGAGAGCGACAGGAATAACTATAGCTGTGGAAACTGTAATTAGCTGTGGGACAAGGGACAGTCCGGTGGAAGGAGCACCAGACGTGGAATCTGGTTTGGAGCTGGGTTCCTCGCCACAGCCCACCAGCTCATGCATGTGGGGCTGACATCTTCCCCGCGGCTGCAGGGTGAGCCCCAGGCCTCCTGACCACACCTGCAGCCCCACTTCCTCTCTGTTCCAGCCCTTCCCTGTTCCTCAAACGCACCGACCACCCACCACAGTCCTCCCTGGGGCCTCTGTGCAGGTTCTCTCCCAGCCTCTGCCCAGAACGTTCTTCCCCCAGATACGTGGACGGCTCATTCCCGCTCACTTCTTTCAAAGAGGTCTCTGCTCAAATGAGCTTCACTAAAGAGCCCTTGCCTGACCATCCTATATAGGGGAGCACTGCACGCCCAGTCCTCTCCTGCCCTGCGCGGAGACCTGGAATACTATGCATCTGTATTTGTATGGTCACGCATTTATACTCTGTATTATTCCCATGGTCACTGCAGGGTGATCGCCTCATTCTGCTCGGGAGCTCGGGAGCAGGTAGCTGAGGTCGCTCTGTATGTAGAGAACATCTTCTGTGTTGATTGCTGTTTCTCCAGCACGGAGACTAGTATCAGCCACCCAGCAGACACTCAGTCTGAGAGGGAAAGGGACAGTCACACCATTAACCCCTCGGAGCTTCGGTGTGCCCATCTTTAAGGGAACAACAGCCCTGCTCTGCCTCCCTCGCCAGGATTAAGTGGATGTCAGATGAAGTATCCATGGGGAACAGGCTTTGTAAATTCCAATACCTCAGTCCCTGGCAGGGGTGAGGGCGGGCGCGGATGTGCCTCGGGAGACCTGAGCTGCTGCTAGCTCAGCCCTTACAGGGGACAGACGTCACCACCTCAAGCTCCTGATGCTAAACCACACCCGAAGCCCTCTTCCATTCTTACCTCCCTCCAGGCCACAGCGCTACACTGTGACTCTCACCTTCCCCCTGTGACCCACCCCCTCCCCTAGGTGGCAGGGACCCTACTTCCAGCCTGACCCCCCTATACTGGAAGGGTTCGAGCTTGTCAATTAATGCCCTTCCTGGCATTCTCCTCTTTCCTCCCCCCGCAAGGCCTCAGGGGCCGTGCAAATACCCAGTGGACCCGAGAGTGCAGTGGAAAGTGCATCACACGTGCTGCAGACGCTCGGCCACCCCGGAGCTGACCCACCTGCCACGTCAGCCTCCTCCCTTCCGAAGCCAGACTCCAGGTGGGGCGAGTCTGGATCTGCTCGTCACATCCGGCTCAGCGCGTACTGTGCCAAATTTGCCCCACATATACCAGGCCAGCTCCGTCTTGAAGTCAGAGACCTGGGTTCCGCTTCTGGCTCTGAAAATTACTAAGTACCAAAGAGCAAGCACCATCTCTGTACCTAAAAAGGTGCTAGGTATCGACAGAGATTTCCTCTTTAAAGTTTATAAAACTTCCTGCCACGTCCAAGGCAGGAATTATTATCCCTTTATGTGGACACGGAGCCTAATGCTCGGAAAGGGTGAGTAAGTCCCTATGGCTAGTGAGGCCAGTCAGGGGCTGAGCGCCCATCCCTCCCGGGGCTCTAAGCAGCCAGCCCGCAGGCCTGGCCCACCCACCTGAGCAGGGGGTGCAGGAAACCACAGCCGGGGTGTCCCCGTCTATGAGGCCTCCTCAAAGTGGGGAGCACACATGCGCCCAGGGTCAGGAAGAGCCAGCCCATGGGGCAGGAACCCGCTCCTCCCATGGAGCAGCACGGACATCCCGGGCAGGCGAGGAGAGAAGAAAAAGAGGGGCCTAGAGAAAGCTGGGGAGGAAGTGCATGCTTCTGACCCTGCTTCCTGCTCGGAACACCCTGAACTTGTCTGTATCACTCCTAGGCAAGGGTCAAGGCAAGTGGTCGGGATTATGTCTTTAAACAAGGACCTTCCGGGGTTCACGCAGGTCAGGAACCCGAGGCCATGCTCCAGTCCCAGTGCCGGTCCCCGTGGACTTGCTGGACAATTGCAGGGACCGTCAGAAGGTCCCCGGGGCTTGGTTCCCGCTCTGGGGAGCAGGTTGCCTCTGTCTGCTCTGGAGAGCGTGGGGGGGTGGGGGGCGCGCCTGGCAGAGCACCTGCTCGTGTCAGCATGGGACGATATGAACGAACAGTCTTTGAACTTCTGCTGTCCCCTGAACAGTCTGGGGATTATGTATTCCCAGTCAAAGGAAACTGATTTTCGTAACAATCCCTAAGGGTA